CACAAAAGTCACATTTTTACTTGAAAAGTCTATTGTGCCCTTGATTTTATATAAACCTTCATATTTATGTAATACCTTCTATATTATACACTATATAATATATTTTTACCTATGTATTTTATTTATAAATAAATAACTTAATATTATTTTATTTATTATTTTTATAATATATTCGTATACTTAATTTTTTCTTAACGTTAATTTACTTAGTAGTATATTAGTTAGTACGTAGTTAATTAGTTACTAGTAACTTTAAATTAATTAATTAATTAAGTTAAGTAAGTAAAAGTAAAAATAACGGTACGAACGTNAACTCTACATGCGAATTTAGCTGGGGATATTTTCTTGGGGATTTACCTGGTCGGCAATTGGTTATTTGGGAAATTACACTACTAGAAATTCGGGAAAACCGTCCCAAAAAAACCGACCAAAGTTGGTCGGTAATGGCCAATAATCGTCCAAAGCGCGACCATTAACGTGTGGTCGGTATTTTGAAGGTCGGAAGGGCATACCGACCAAAGTTGGTCGGTCAATTAAATTCAAAACAAGAATTGCTGAAAAAAGTTATTTTATAATGCTAGTAATATATCTTAAAATTAACGTTAAAAAAAAATTAAATATTCGAATATACAACAACCCAGTATAATTCCACTAGTGGGGTCGGGGGAGGGTAGTGTGTACACAGATCTTACCTCTACCCTAGAGTAGATAGGTTGTTTCCAATAGACCCCCGGCATCCTTCCCTCCAAGAACTCTCCACCTTGCTCTTTGGGTGACTCGAACTCACAACCTCTTGGTTTGAAGTGGAGGGTGCTTACCACCAGAGCAACCCACCTTGTCTAAAATATATATTATAAAAATAATAAATAAAATAATATTAAGTTATTTTATTTATAAATAAGATACATAGGTAAAAATATATTATATAGTATATAATATAGAAGGTATTACATAAATATGAAGGTTTATATAATATCAAGGGCATGATGGACTTTTCAAGGAAAAATGTGACTTTTGTGATAACTAGAGCAAAGTAAAATGATTTTTGTGTAACAAAAGAAAGAAAAGTGACTTTTGTGTGATGAACACAAAGTTAAATGATTTTTACGTAACAAAAAAAAAGTGACTTTTGGGTAACAAACACAAAAGTTCAATGACCATGGGTAAAATTAACTCGAGTTTGTGATGTAGGGATGACTGACTATACCAAAGTCTTGGAAAAAGCTGGAAGAAAGGCAAGAAAGAAAGGTTACCTACTACTAACAAGGGTGGGTAAGAAAGACAGGTGAAATGACTAGCTTAGTAACTTTTATTTTATCTAAAAAGGTTGACTTAGTGCCCTATCCGCCTTTAAGTGAAGCGGCGCATTCACCGAAGGTTGAAGTACGTAGGGTTGTGTTATATTGTCTTCCATCTATAATTAGTTGGGAAATATGAAAGAACAAGTGTGCAGCAAGGTTTGAGAATCTACATGTCTAGTAGGTATATTGTCTGGCATGTGTGTCACTTAATGTCATTGATTCTGTAATGTCAATTCTCCGAGTTAAATTTATCTGCAATATGGGAGGACAAGTGTGCTTATGTGGAGAAATTAAAGGCTACTGGTGAAATAGTCTAGGCATGAGGAGGGGTTGATGAAAATGAATGTAGATGACTATAATAAGGTAATCATGGGAGTGCTGGAGGGGGTGGCATAATAAGGGATTATCGTGCTTTTAGCCCTTGTTGATAACTTTGGCCTCTATAGTAATAACGTAGTTGAAGCTAAGGCAATTTTGATAGAGATTTTCTCAAGATTATTCTTGAATTTGATTCTCTTGTGTTGGTTAATATAATCAATAAGAATGTCAAACCTCCATGACAGATTCACAGCATCATGACACATATAAGGGATTTGATCCGTCCTTTTTATTCATATATTCAGGGAAGAAATGTGATCGCAAACCAAATGGCAAGTTTGGGTGAAAAGGTCATGAACCAGATTGTCTTTATCAAAGATCTTTCATTGCCTAGGCAAGTTATGGCTTACTTGAAGTTCCAAACTTCAGATTTAGGCCAAAGAAAAGCCTCTTCTCTTTTAGTAATAGTTCGGATGAAGGAGTTTAACTATATTATACACTTAAACTGTTTAGCTTTGTGATTTATAGTTGGTTGTTCAAATATTGTAATGGAGGAGTCCTCCCATATCTTAGCTAAAAATAGCACAGTCTAGCACGTTTTCGTACTGGTCATTCAAAAATAGCCAGCGTTTACCAAGTCAATGAAAAATAGCCACTATTTTGCTGCAACAAAGACCGGTCCAGCATAATATACTGGAGTTCGGTGCACCTGTGTATGAACTTCCAGCATATTATGCTGGAACTCCAACACACGGAAAGTTCCATCATAATATACTGGAGATTCGAGCACTTGTGTATGAACTTCCAGCATATTATACTGGACCGGTATACTTTGCTGGAACTCCAGTATATTATGCTGGAGTTCTAGTGTACTTATGCTGGAGTTCCAGCATACTTATCCTGGAACTCCAGTATAATATGCTGGAATTCAAGTATACTTATGCTGGAACTCCAGCATAATATACTGGCGTATTTTCCGGGTTTTGAAGAGTGTTTTCGCTCAGATTTATCTTTACATGAAAAGTGGCTAGATTTCGATTACTTTTGAAACTAGCTATTTTTGAACGATCACTTCTAAATCTGGCTCTTTTTGAATTTCTCCCATATCTTAGCTACATCTCTTTTGCATTTTTTCATAGAAATGGCTAGCATCATATTTCATCATTGCTTTGGAGGTTATGGTCTACGTCCTCTTCCATGTACTTTTGTTGTTTGATTTATATATAGGCTAGGACTACTCCTAACCCTCCCACCAGCCTGGTAGATCATTTGACAAAAAAAAATAATTATATTCTCTCTTCTCTCTGTTCCCTTTTCTCTTATTCTCTCTATCATCTAATCCCCTTTTCTCCTTTTCTTACTGAAGGCCCTTCACCCCCCGTGACCTCTGGCTATAGGAAATCAGTGCAACACTACGTTGATGATGTGTCCGGGATTTTATTTTTCATTTTTCTTTTTCTTCTTCTTTCGAGAATCTGAATTTGAAAGCGACTAGCAAAAAAAAGACATACAAATATATGTAAGAAAATGCTACTGCTCAGATCCACTGTGATTGAAGTCTTTAAGAACCCTATCAATTCCCATAGCATACGATTAGGGGTGGCAAACGGGCAGGTCGGATATGAGCGGGTCAAAACGGGTAATTTAAAAAATGAATAAATTATCCGACTCGACCCGTATTTGAGACGGATAAAAACGGGTTTATCCGGCGGATAATATGGATATTCATATTATCCATGGCTTCCTAAATATGATCACTTATGAGAGAATTCCTTATCTTCCAAACTTGAGGAACTCCAATTTAAGACTTTACAAATGTAAAGGTTAAACACATTAGTTATCCATTGGTTATCCATTTGGTTAACCATTTTCTAAGTGGATAATATGGTTCTTTATCCATATTCAACCCGTTTTTAAATGGTTCATTATCCAACCCATTATTTGACGGATAATATGGGTGGATAATTGTTTTCTTTTAACCATTTTGCCACCTCTACATATGATTATACGAATATGTACACTAAGCTATTTACCCACAAGGCCACAAGCTTATAAATCATGCTCTGCACCCATCACTAACTAACTTTACATATACGCATACTAAACATCAATAATTTCCAAAGTTAGTTTAAGCAATGTAAATTACACAACTATACGTCAATAACCTCCGAAGCTAGTTTAAGCAATGTAAACTACGCAATTATGCATCAACAATATCCTAAGCTCTGCTTGATGCACTGTCCATGTTCTTTTACAATTGCTCGTAAGCAAAAAACTAAGACTGCTTCAGCAGCATTTGACCAAATAAAGAGCAGTTAACATTCTGGGGACTAATAGCAGGCATATTCCATCAGCTTCCACCAAATCATTTGAGTTTATACAGTATAAATCTGAACTAGCAAGCAAGAAGCTACATAATTCTGTGAAATAAATTTCAGTGACGTTAGATGAACAAAACCGTATAGGGGTGGGGTGGATGTCACACACCGTATAGGGGTGGGGTGGATGAAGTGGAGGTTAGCGTCGGGAGTCCTGTGTGACAAGAAAGTGCCACTGTTACTAAAAGGTAAGTTTTATAGAGCAGTGGTTAGGCCTGCCATGTTGTATGGGACCGAGTGTTGGCCGGTTAAGAACTGACACATCCAGAAGATGAAAGTAGCAGAGATGAGGATGTTGAGATGGATGTGCAGACATACAAGGATAGATAAGATTAGGAATGAAGATATTCGAGAGAAGGTAGGCGTGGCCCCCATGGAGGACAAGATGCGGGAAGCAAGACTCAGATGGTTTGGGCACATTCAGAGAAGGAGCACTGATGCACCAGTGAGGAGGTGTGAACGACTGGCTGTGTTGGGCACGAGGAGAGGTAGAGGGAGACCTAAGAAATATTGGGGCGAGGTGATCAGGCAGGACATGACGCGACTTAGGATTACTGAGGACATGGCCCTTGACAGGGAATTATGGAGGTCGAGCATTAAGGTTGTAGGTTAGGGGGAAGTTGTGAATATTTCTACAGCGCACTAGAGTGAGACTAGCCAGTTAGGAGTTAGTCTTAGGATGCTACTGGTCAGCTACTGATGCAGGGCTTTATCTGCTGGATATTATTATACCTTCCATCTTCTTCGTATTTCCTATATTTCTTATATTCCTGTTATTTTGTTATTTTATGTTATGTTATGTTATTTTATGTTATTTTATTATGAGTCTATTGATAGTACTAATATATTGTCTCTTGTTGCTTTCTTGAGCCGAGGGTCTCCTGGAAACAGCCTCTCTGCCCCTCGGGGGTAGGGGTAAGGTCTGCGTACATATTACCCTCCCCAGACCCCACTTGTGGGATTATACTGGGCCGTTGTTGTTGTTGTTGTTGTTGTTGTTAGATGAACAAAACGTGACTTAACATTCCGGCAAAACTTGTCTTTTCCCGTTTCTCCTTCTTGTTCTCCATTTTTCCAATATGACAGATTAGGGTAATCAAATGTTTTGTCAAGCTACAAAAGGATAACACCATACCAACATCTAAATACTTACACATGGCTACTGGTTATTGGGTGGCTTTTGAACTTCCGCTTCTATTTCTTTTACATTGTTGACAGCTACTTCAATTTTCTTTGACAAAAGCTCCATCTGCTGCTCAACATTTTCCAAAAAAGTAATTAGCTGCTCTCTGTAAAGGTCACATAATTTATCCTGATGCTCCAACTCCGCGGACAGTTCTAGGATCCTCCTGTCCTTTTTATCCTACAAGAGAAAATCAAGAACCAGTCATTTCAAAGATAATAAGAAATTGCAGCAATTTTGTACAGATGAAGACAGACACACAATTCAAATACCATTAATTACCGAGGCTTGAGATCCTTAGAGGGGCACATGAAGCCTCACCCTCGCCACCTGTTTCCCATGGGATCCCAAACACTATCCAGTTCCTGAAGCTACTTCTGATATTATTTTATCTCATAATAGTGTTTAGCTACCTAATAGTGGTGGTCATGAGGCTTGGGCCATAATCAAGCTGACGCATGAAATGTACTAAAAGAGATCCAGCATCCTAAATACTAAACAACAACAACCCAGTAGAATTCCACTAGTGGGGTATGGGGAGGGTAGAGTGTACGTAGATCTTACCCCTATCCAACAACAGCATCCTAAACATTGTTGTTTACATTAAAGCAAGAAAGCACAAATAAATGATGAAAAGAGTAAGTAGCTTTTCTTTCTTCTTTCATTTTTTTGAAGGATCTTAATAACTTAAAGCAAGTTACTGCCAGTTTTGAGGAACAGTTGGAATAGTAACAGAAGATGTTCTTAGTTCTTACACTTGTTGGGCTTCCAAGTGATCGTAACTCAATGCGAGATCAAATTTTAGCGAATCCAACTACTCCTATATGATGTACTTTCGAGGTTCTGCGTCTCTCAAGCATAAAGAAGAGAGAAAAACAAAAGCACCCCGCTAAAGTTTTTCACAAAACTAGCAAAAGCGTTCTTCAAACTCACGTTAGAAGAATGTAAGATGAAAAGAACCTTACCCGCTCGTTCTTCAATCCCGCAAGATTGCAAGAGTCGTGGAATAAAGGAAGAAGGGTGAAATAAAAAATCAATCATGTTTTTGAAGCTAATGCTCAAAGAAACTAATCACCAATGTTTATTTTCAGCATATTAAGCCCTTTTTTCCATATTAGGTCTTACAATGAGTAAAATTGATAGGGTTAAGGAAAACTAATCCTAATTAAACTAGCATAAGAATAAGGCTAAGAAAACCTATCCTAACTAAAATAGAAAAAAGAATTCTAGTAGGAATGGGATACCAACTAACCATTCTAGTTTGACTAGAACTACAAATATAATCCTACTAAAACAAATACAGTCAGACCTCTCTATAACAGCATCCCTATATAACAACACTTCACTATAAAAGCCAAGCTTTTCCGGAACCAAATTTCATGTTATGTTATAATATATGTTCTCTATAACAACACTTCGCTATAACATCCAAAAAATATTCAGAACAAACGACGTCATAGAGAGGTTTGACTGTATTAAATTACTAGAAAACAAGAAATAAGAAATCCCAAACTTCAAGGAAAAGAAATCCTAATCTTGAATGGATTCTTGGACTTCTTCAATTTCTTGAAATTCTTGGGCCTCAATTGGACTAAGGCTAATTAGTGTAAGCATTTTAAATCCGTGACCCAATTCTCCAAATCCATTGGCACCTTCATGAGCCCAATAAGCCCTCATTGTTGTAGAAAACACCGCCTCCATATGTTCATCACTATAGCAGATGAGGTGGTCTCTTGGTTCCCCTCCTAGGTCACACAGTGATCCCCTCACCATCAATGAATTCTTCTGTTTCGCGTGATAGACTGTGGGGAATCAAGGTGGAAGTCATTTTGGAAAGTCTCGACTTAAAACAGTCTCCTCGAGCATGGTTTACAAAGTTTAGCACAGTTATACAAGAGTTTGGCATGACATGGAGCGAAAATGTTCAATATGTATTTTATCGACACTCTCACTCTGATGTGTGTACCTTTTTGGTAGTCTCCATAGTTATCACTAACGGTGATCAAGAGGGCAGTGAAAGCTTGAAGCAACATCCCTCTCAGAATTTTCATACAAAGGACCTAGGTAAATTACAATACTTCTTAGGTATTGAAGCAGCTCAGTCCAGATCAGACATTGCCATTTCACAGCGAAGAATGCTATGGACATACTTAAGGAAACAGGGATGAGAAACAATAGACCTAGTGATACTTCTATGGATCCGAATGTCAAGCTTTTGCCGGGTACCAGGAGCCTCGGTGATGCTGGGAGATATAGGAGATTAGTTGGAAAACTAAATTATCTCACTGTAATATACCTGATATCGCCTTTTCAGTGAGTAACGTTAGTCAGATTCTAAATTCTCCATGTGTAGCTCCTTGGAATACAATAGTCTGTATTCTTCGGTATTTTAAGTCTGCTCAAAGAAAAGGGCTACTTTATGAGAATCGAGGACATGAGAAGATTGTTAGGGATACAGATGCTTCACCCTCTCACGTTCTACCTCTGGAGATTGAACTCTTGTTAAAGGCAATTTAGTATCTCGGAAGAGCAAGAAATAAAGTGCGGTCGAGATCCTGTGCTGGAGTTGAATATAGAGATATGACAGCTGCAACTTGTGAAAACATATGGATCAGACAACTATTGAAAGAACTGAAGTTTGGAGAAACCACTCAAATGGAACTTTGTTTGTGATAAACAAATGCATCCCGTATTTGCTTCAAACCCAGTATTCCGTGAGAGGACCAAGCAAATAGAGATTAATTGTCACTTCGACAGAAAAAGATATTCTCAGGAATACTGTCACGAGATTTGTAAGGTCCAATAATCAACTTGCAGACATATTTACCAGGTTTCTTGCAGATCCTCGAGTTAGTTATATATGTACAAACTCGGCATATACAATGTGTATCAACTCTTGGGGATGAGTGTTAGAAAGGTCAATATAGTTGTACACATTAGTGACCCACATTGAACAAGAGTAAAATTATAAAGACACATATATAAATAGGTAAAAGCATAAGATGTAAAATTCACGCAGTCCCATAAAGTCTTTCTCCATATTCCGTTACTTACATTCCTAATCTGATTCACCTCTTTTCCTTCCAATGCTTCTTCTTCTAAACATCAAATTCCTCCTCTTCCCTTATTTCACTCAGATTTACTTGCTTTTGCAGCTAACTTTTCCTTCTTTTGCTCCTCAGTCCTCAGTAATGTCAATATTAAGACTGAAGTCATGTGCATAAGATCGTATTCTGTGGGAAACAAAAACGGTAGGAAACCTCCCTGTAGCTTTTGTAAGCCTTTGATAACATAGCATACAATTAATCAACCTCCTAATATATAGCCACTGTATGCCTGTTTAGAAGAGTTATAATACCCCAAACCATGAACGAGATAACCAGCTTTAGAATAATGTGAGATAATAATCAGCCAGAAAACTTCCACTTGTGCAAATTCACCGTTCTAATTGTTTCTCTGTTTTCTATTCCCTAACTTTCAACGTATTATTTATGTTCTTAATCCATTTTTCAAAATTCACCAAACTCTTTCCTCTAGTTAATCTGCCGTAAACCCAGTAGTAATTATTCTACATGAAGTGTTGCTTCTTCCTCTACTTCTACTTTTGTATTTAATCTTCCACTCGTTAACTCTTCGCTTTCACCTTAACATCCAAAGTAGTATGAAAATGAAAAAACAAAAAATAAAGCAGCTAAACTTTTTTTCCTGGAACAAACAGTTGAGAGAAAAACTTGCAACTGTAATGACATGGCACGAACAGTTGAGAGAAAAACTTGCAACTGTAATGACAGAGGACTGGAAGCTGCAAATAGTGGTGGAATAAAATGACGGGAAATGGAATGAAATAGTGTTAAATTTTTAAATTCCAAAAAGTCCCTCTGTTTTAGTAACTCCTTCACCAGAGGAGTCAACCTTTAAGAAAGTGTAAAATGCGCGCATTGGTGCCCGAGAAAACACAGAAAAGAAGAGAGTTATTTGGGCATTTCAAAAGTAGAAAATTAGTAGCCACGGGAGCAAATTAATCATGAGAAATAGTGATGAGCAAAAACAAAAGAGTATCACCTATATGGATAAGTGAAGGTGTTAAAAGGGGACGAGGTAGACCTAAAACCACATGGAAGGAAGTTGTCTCGAAAAACCTACAAATCCTTGGAATTTATGCACACTTGGCTAAAGATAGAGCACAATGGAAGGGCGACGCAAGACATGACCAAAGAATCTCAAGTGACCTTCTCAAATTTGTACCTTCTGGCGAAATGTGGTCATTTTTAATCTTATCTAATCTGTATAACCGCACGTCCATCTTAGCATCTGCATATCTGCAACACTCATTTAGTGGATATGTTGGACTTTAGCAGCTCAACATTTACTACCATATAACATTGCCGGTCTTGTAGTGTTACTAATAGGACATTTGGAGAAATTTAGAAGGCCACTTTAAATGCAGATCAAGCCATGCTTTTCTTTTTTCACTTAGGCTAAATGTATCATAAAGGTGGTGTAGCACTAGAAGGGAGAAGAACAGAGAAATAGGAGTACCGGAGAAAATAGAGAGTAAGAATAAAAGAATGAATGAGAGATAGAGACAAAAAGAGAAGAATGAGAAAACAGAGAGGGAAAGAGTGTGCCTAGTGGTCAATGAAGTGGGTTAAAAACCACGAGGCCTCAGGTTCAAATCCCAGCAAAGGCAAAAGCACTTGGTGATTTCTTCTCATCAGTCCAAACCTTGATCGACAGAGTTACCTAGTACCTGTGTTGGTAGGAGGCAGCAGGTACCTCGTGGAATACTGGAATTAGTCGACATGCGTGCAAGATGGCCCAGACACCAATGTTATCAAAAAAGAAGAGAGGAAGAGGGAAAAATAGGAGAAAAACAGGGAGACAGACTGGCAGAAACAGTGTGTGCAGTTACACTTGCAAATATTATCAATCAACTCCAACTCAGTCAATTGACAGTGGTAACTAATTTTCAAATTTTGTCAAAAGCATGTAAAAGCACCTCAACGTTTATATTTTGAACTCAGCAGAACTAATCAAAAGCAATGAAGCTGCTTGGATTATGCTCTTGATACTATAGCTCATCCATGGAAAGGATACGTATTTTTCCTCCTTTTTTTTGCCCCTACAGCCAAGCAAGATGATGAAAATATGCTTTCCCGAGATTGTGTATCAAGGTATTTTCAGTTTGAAGCTAACTGCGCCAGAGTGCAACATGAATGGACAACTATATCAGGAAAATACACCAACCAATAAAAGATGTTCTAGGCTTTCAGATTAGCCGGATCAGAAAATGAACGAGTTATCGGGAAATTACCCATTCTATGATCTTAGGACTCCAAGATGGACGGAACTGTATGGGTGTTTGAAAGTATAGATGGCAGAGGTTAAGCACCAATCTTGCCATTTTGTGGTCTGCAAAGCTTTCCATCCTTATGATACCACTCAAATCTTATCGACGGAGAGCTGCATCTTATAATCATCATTAAGATGTGCCTGAACTCCAAGTAGGGAATTCTTAAAAACATGCTCAAAATCAAAAACAAATTGAGGGATAGTACAGCTGCCTGAACCACTTAGCAAGCGAAACTGCAACAAGATAAATAGCCAGGCTGCTAAGTTTTTTGTTATACAGCACCTAAGCTGTATTTAAATGGCAATGACGATTATGCACGGACATGACGAACAGAATAATGCAAGATAGAGGATAGAGAGAGAGAGAGAGTTACTGGTAAAATTAATTGATAACTGTTCAATCACTCAACCCCTTTTTCTCCTAATCCTTATGAATTTAGGAAGGCTTTGTAGCAGCTAGATTAGATGAGTTATTGTATCTCAAATAAGAGAAGATCTAAGAACTGAAAGCAGGCTGCACATAATATTTTCACTTAAGATTTTGTGCACTAACATCTTTCATGAGGTGACACAAAGTATATTGACTTATAAGATTAAACTGAGACCAAAAGACGAGTAAACTTAAGATGAACCACAAAGAGTGTTGCTTTATTATAAACCTAGTCACCCTTACCATTGCATTACGAGAAGAACATCCAGAAGCAATCAATGGATGGGTATGCTCCTTCACGAATCTCGTCACTACCCACTTATCAGACTTGTTAACCTTTACCAACATCATTGCCTTGCACCCTTCTCGTGTGCTAGTGCGTGTTTTTCTAAGTGGTCCATAATGGTTTTTCATTTTCACGTAATAGCCTTGCTTGTTACATGAAAGTCGCCGTGAAAGGATTCTCTTGTCGACTTCTGAACGCCGACATTGATCAATGCGCATGATAAACCCAACACGCTTAGCATAGTCATCATAAAATCCCTTGGCAGCATCTTCTGACTCAAACTCCATTCCAATAAATGGCTCCCTAACCACATTATCCTCACATGCAACTAACTGGCCTTCAGCAGAGCAATCTATTGTAGCAGCTCCAGCCTCTAAGTCCACTGCCACACCGAAATGATGCACATTATCTTATAAGACATTGCTCTTTTCATAAACCAAACATCACCCAAAGTTTTAAAAAAGTTATCAAAAATGCCTTCTCCAGTACAGGATCAGATGCATTATATTAGGTACTAAGTTTACACCCAATCCAATAAAGAAGTAGCGGGACCTAGTAATCCTTCATACCAACAGACCTTAAATCAGTGATCAGGTTGCCCACGTATATGCCCCAATAAAGCTGTTGGTCAGAAACATCCTATTGTACGCAGAATCCAGCCAGGAAACGAAGCACAGTGTATTTATGTATGTGTCTATGTTTTCAACAAGCACTTGTTAAGAGAAAATATTAGAAACAGTAGATATGTAAAGGTTCACAAAACACTTGTTTACCATCTTTTAACTGAACCGTTTAAAAAGGTATATAATATGCATGTTCACGAACTAAAGTTGAACTCGCACAATTCTTTCCCCTAACCCTTCAAAATTTTATTTCCATCCAAGTAACTACAAAAGCTTTCACCGAAAGTCCTGCCGTTAAACAACTACATAACAATTTAAAAGGTCCAACAATTATCAGCTTTTTTTCAGTAATAAGTTAGCTACTTCAATTCTTAAATTAACAAATTCAAATAGCCCATTTGCAAAGGGAAGAAAACAAAACAGAGAACCCCCAAAAAGACTTACTAGTATGGACAACGGAAGTCGGATTTTGATGGAAAAAGACAGCCGATGATGTTTCCACTTGGGACCCAACGAAAAGGGTTTATGGTCGTTGAAGCTTCAATTTGGATTTCGGACGTTTCTTCTCCCGATTCAGGCTCTTCTTCGTGAAACACGCATTGTTCATTGGCGCGTGACAAAGAAAATTCACTATGTAAAATGGAGTATATAGGGACAGGACCAGGAAGAGTCCAAGGAAAAATCCGAAAGAATTAGGAGTATATTAAAAAATACTTGTTAATCTACCAAATCAGACACATATATTAAAGAAAGAATTACTAGAAAATAAAGCTGACTCCGTATTATAACCAAAAGTAACTCACATTTAAGTCTTATCTAACCTATAGCCCGTTTGGCCAAGCTACAAAAATCAGCCTATTTTGAGAAGTATTTTTTTCAAAAGTACTTTTGGTGAGAAGCAGTTTGTGTTTGGCTAATTAGTTTGAAAAGCACTTCTGAGCAGCAATTAGTGTTTGGCCAAGCTTTAAAAAACTGTTTCTAAGTGTATTTTTCTCAAAAGTGCTTCTCAAAAAAGTGTTTTTGGAGAGAAGCTACTTTTTCTGCTTCTCCAAAACTGCTTCTGCTTCTTCTCAAAAGTACTTTTTTTCCTTCCAAAAGCTTGGCCAAACACCTCAATTTTTGGCCAAAAGTGCTTTTGGCAAAAAAAAAAGCACTTTTCGCCAAAAAGAAGCTTGGCCAAACAGGCTACTAGTCTATATCGTAGATACTTTGAAAGCACTATCAAAGGCATACCGTAACTACTGTGAAAATTTGAAAACTTTTCTACTACTAGTAAGCTTCAAAAAGTAACAAAAACACTCGGGGGTCAGTTTGGTTTGAATATACAGGTTATGCTGGGATTACGGGTCGTTTGCCACCCGACAAAGGGACATTGTCCCATATTGGAGGAAGAAAAGACTTTTTATGGGTATATATACAATTACTCTTCTCGGGTATACATCTGCTCCAATTCCTCGATCGTCGATTTAGTGGCATCGATATCATCGAGTGCTATAAAGGATCTTGGGACACCGTAATCATCCTCCTCGTTTGTCGTGTGCTCCTCTTGTTTTTCTGCCCCGGTCAGGGTCGGGATCGTTGATTGATTTTGGTTTTCTTCTCTTCGACCAGTCCTTTACTTTTTAATGTCGAGACCACGGGCACCAGGATTACTTCTTCAACAGTGAACTCCTTTGTGGCCGGTTGTTCCCCGTAGACCGTTTTGATTCCTCCCGGAGTGGGAAATTTCAATGCTTGATGTGGGATTGAAGGCACTGCCCTCATGTTGTGAACCCATGGCCTTCCAAACAAGGCGTTGTACCTCATATCCCCCTCGATCATGTAGAACTTTGTTTCCTGGGTGGTCCCGACAGTGTATACTGATAGGGCTATTTCACCCTTCGTTGTCTCGCACGCCATATTGAACCCGTTCAATACTCGAACTACCGGTATGATTTGGTCCAATAATCCCAATTGCTCTACGACCCTCCATCGGATGACGAGCTATCTAGATCAATTAACAGACGTTTAACTCGAGATTTATTAATAAGCACGGATATTATCAGTGCATCGTTATGAGGTTGGATGATGCCCTCGGCATCCTCGTCGCTAAACGAGATGGACCCCTCCGAAACGAATCCCTGATGCATTTTTCCCTTGTGATAGAAACTTTAGTGTGTTTTATCATTGGCCCTTGGGGGACATCCACTCCCCAATGATCATGTTGATCACGTGTTGAGGCTCCTCTTGCTCAATCTATTTGTTAGCGTCCCTATTTTTTAAATAATTTTTGGCCCGTTCACTTAGGAATTCCCGAAGGTGCCCGTTGTTGAATAGTCGATCCACTTCCTCCCTTAACTATCGACAATCTTTAGTCCTGTGACCATGAGTACCATGGTACTTACATACCAAGTTGTGATCCCTCTATTTGGGATCAGACTGCAGTGGCCTAGGCCATTTTGTCTCCTTGATGTGGCCATTGGCCGACATTATACTTGCAGCGTCCACGTTGAAGTTATATTCCGATAGTCTCAGGGCTTCTCTGCCCCAAGTGATCTGCCGAAACCATTTTTATTCATCAGACCCCAGTTGCTAGGTCTCGCTTCTCCTGTCATTCTGGTTAGGTGGAGAACGGGCCTGTTTTCCCTCATATCCGAGTTGTACGGCTGATACCGATCTCGGACCGACCTTGGCTCTTAGTCCATAATTCTTTTAGACCTGTCGTTTGCTCTGTTGGAGTAAACAGACCCCGAGGGGGGCCCAGCAGGTCGTCCTCGACTCTAATCTTCGACTGATACCTGTTATGGACATCGGCCCAAGTAACATCCGGGTATTACCAATTTTTGCTTCAATTGCTGAGAAGCAATGAAACTTCAGGGGTTGAGCCCTTGAGTGAACGCCTGAACGGCCCTATCATTTGCGACCGGAGGCAGATCCATTCGCTCCATCTGGAACCTTGACACGAATTCTTTAAGCATCTCATTGTCTCTTTGCTTGACTTTGAAGAGGTCCAATTTCCTCGTCTCGGCCTTGATGACACCATCATGGGCCTTAATGAAGGCATCTGCAAGCATAGCAAATGAATCAATGGTACTCGGAGGCAAGTTATGGTATCATATCATCGCTCCTATGGACAGGGTTTCCCCATATTTCTTCAATAAAACCGACTCGATCTCGTCATCTTCTAGGTTGTTGCCTTTTATTGTGCATGTATATGAGGTTACATGCTCGTTTAGATCTATGGTCCCGTTATATTTGGGAATGTCGGGCATTCGGAATCTCTTTGGAAATGGCTTCGGGGCTGCACATGGGGTAAAGGCTTCTAAATAGTTTTTTGGAATTCAACCCTTTCATTATTGGAGGCACTCCCGGGATCTCGTCGACCCTCGAATTGTAAGTTTTCACCTTCTTGTCATTTTCCTCTATCCTTTCCTCACCATACTCCACTCGCTTCGTTTAGTGCTTGAGCATTTTCATCACCTCAGAAGTTTCCCCGAGCCCGAACCCGTCCGGCTCAACGACGATTTGTTCATCCCTTCGAGTATTTTCTCTAACCCGCTCGGGCTCGGTCCTGTTCTGGGTGTGACTTTTAGGTTTGTAGTTGTGCTATTGCCGCTTGCTGAGCTTGTAATATAGAGAAAATCAATTGCAAGCTAGCCCATCACCTTCCCCTGACTCGATGTCAACGTTCAAGTGAGCAGACTGAGAATTTGACATTTTTAGATTAACCTGAAATCAAACATCAAAGAACAAGTGTAAAGTAGGGTGTGTTATGGAGATTCATATTAAATTACTACTATTATCCTTAGCCCCACAGTGGATGCCAAACTGTTTACCCTTAAAATAAGTAACAATTAAATTTATACGTAGTTAAAGGATACGCTATTTAATTTAATACGAATGATCTATGAACAGAAAATAATTAAAGTAAAGTGAAACAAAACTATCAACCAAACGTGATGAACAATTAAGCATGTCTTTTAGATGAACAATGAAAATTGACCTCAGTCGAGCCCTCGAGATGGGCTCGGTTACAACCAAATAAATAAGCACCTGAAGAACACTATGAACAGTAACTAGAGAACAAAAATGAACTTTTATTACTTTGATATGCGTTCCAACAGTGTATTTAAAATGAAAAGGTTCCCCTTTATATAGTATGAGTGTTTTAATCCTAGTACAAGTCTAAATAAGGTAAAAAGAATCTCCTTCTAGTGAACGTTGATCTCCAGCTGATATCGGGCGAGATTTGTGCCTAACATCCGCGAGGGCAGATATTATGGCTCCCCGCTTATTGTGTCAAACCGTTTTCCCCTAGTCTCGGCCCTTCACTCTTCTTGGGCTCGATGCTCTACCGTATTCGGCCCCGGGTGCACCATTCTTCCTCTCCGGGCTCTAAGACGCGGAACCCATCGTAACTACCCAAGGTCGTGTTAGATCGTGCTTCCCTCTCATTTCTTTACGGAAAATCAGGGGTAACATTATCTCCAATTTTACCCGTACACAACTATCACAAATGCACATATTATTGTCTAATTAACATAGAACATGGACAAGGAATAGCATCTCAAACACAAATTTTAGTACATACTCAAAGTTTTATACTTTATTGGTTCCGAAATTAACCACGAGTATGATGAAATGATAAAGGTTGTTTTATGCTTAATAAGAGGTACTCCTATTAGATTAGAACGTTACAAATAACAACTGTATGATTAGTAAATTAGAGTTATATACTGCCTTCTCATCTCCAGAATGAGCATGAAACCACACTAATAGCACTTGAAAATGATAGAACAATATACAACCTATTAGATAGTCAAGAGTAACAAGCAGTAGCTATCCTTATGCCTTAGCATTAGTACCAATGTCCAGTATACTTCCACATAGTATGAATTCATACACAAAGTGTGTATCAATGAGAGTCCATCGTGCAGTAGTAACACCAAGTAAAAGACAGTACCAAACCCTAATGAGTAGTAGAATATTACTTTGTAATCTTATAGTTGACCTAATGTCTTGCCTGTTTGCCCTAAAGGTTCCATACAGCGTAGCACTACTTCCAGAATGAGCATGTTGCCACGCTAATACCACTTGACAGTACACACTATACAGATATGAGAAGAAAAATGGACAATGACAATAACAGGCAGTGAACTTAAAGATCCTGTCATCAATCTGGTGCTTTCCTCTTGGCAACCCTAACCCTAAGGTTAGGTATTTGTGCTTTGTTCATGTTCACTAGTGTTTTTCCTGCAGTAGGTAGGTCCTGAAATGAAAGAAATGTTATTGTACCTACAAAAGAAAAAACTAGGTTAGCTGAAAAATTAGCAACATCATTGCCCTTCCTTAGCACATGCTGAAAGAGCACATTGTAGGTGCTCTTTATATCCTTAATCTTTCTCACTTCTGCCCCTATACACCAAGGAGACTCTTATTCACCCTCAATGATCTTCTTCATCACCAAAGAATCGGTCTCAAGAATAAGAGGGTGAAGCTTTTTTTCAACACAGTATGCCAATCCTTCAACTATTGCTTTTGCCTCTGCCACAATATTTGTTGCCTCTCCTATATCCACTGCCTTAGCAAACACCAAGTCACAACCACAATCTCGCACACAAAAGCCATAGGAGTTAGGTCTAGTATTACCTCTTGATACACCATGTGTGTTACATTTGAACCAACACTCACAAGGAAGCTGCCA